AGTTACTATAATAATGTACATATTCTTCACAGACATAGCCATTGTAGCAGCTCCAAATTAATTTTGCTAAAATTACTAATTACAAAAAATACCCAATTGATTTACCACTTTATTATCACAATAAATTGCATTGACAAGTCCGAAAAGCTTTGCTCTTAACGAAATTCTTTCTCTACAACGACCTAATCGAGGATCACATTTTTTTTTCCTATTTTTAAATCAGTCTAAATTAATTTTATGTGTCAAATGATGTGACACGTTAAGTCAAACGAAGAATATGCTAGAAACATGTCACATGGCAAAACATACCTAGTATTTAAACTATAAATAAGTATCTTCGATTCCTCAAAATTAAAAAAAAATCAAAATTCTAACGAGAAATCGGAGCGAGACAGTAGATAAAATGCCGCATCTGTTCTCTATAATCACTAAGATATTTCTTTACTAAGTCTAGAAATTAAGATTAAGATGAAGATTCAATATTAAGTTGTAAGCACTTAAATTTAAGCACAAGATTAGTCAAATTAAGACCATCCAATTGGAAATCAAGCTTTAAATACTTGAATTCAGATACAATTCAAAATTAAAATCTAAAGTCCTTGAATCTATTTTCAAAGAAAAAAAAATCAGAGTACTCATAGAAATTATAATACTCGTAATATATATTTTAAATAAGCTACTATATTTGTCTATCTTGATTATTGTCTTTATTGATGGAATTATAACCTTCATAAGATATTTTTATTTTTGTACCTTCATACTTATGTTAGTGTGTCTGGATATTTATGTTAAATTCTTTAATAAACTTCTTATAACTTTTCTTTAATGTTGATTTATTTTTTATTAGAAATCTTTAAAAAAAACTAAAAAATTGAAGTCGAATATTTTTAAAGACAAATTTAAATTTTATTTGGGGGTGTGGGTCAGAGATCGGGGTGAAAAAATAAAATGTTGAAATTGAAAATATTTTTTAAAAATAAATTTAAATTTTTTAGAGGAGGGCGCCAGGGAAGGCGGAGTGGAAATATAAAATTTGAAATTGAAAATATTTTTTTAGAAATTGATGTTTTTTAAAAACAAAAATGTAATTTGAAGTTGGATGAAAGTTTTGGAAAATGTTTTTCTTAACTTTTGGAGGGAAGTCATTTTCGTTGATTTTGAAAAAAATGAGTTAATTTTAAAAATATTTTTAAAAACTTTTATCCCAACCAAACATGAGAAAAGTAAATATATTTTTGGAAAAATATTTTCCTTCGTACCAAACACACCCAAAATGTCTCTGTCACGCTATCACGTTTTGGAACAATATTCTAACTTCCAATCTCTTATAATATTTAGAAAATTTGGATATTAGGTATTGAGCTCAAGAAAATATAAAAAAAAATATGATTTGTCTTGGTTAGGTTAAAAAAAATTCACTATTACGATAAGATTGAAATAGATGAAACTTTTTATCATTAAAAAAGGGATTTTATTTTAAGAAAATTATGTGTATAAGTAAATATATGTTTAGTTAATTAGTTAATATATATATATATATATATATATATATATATATAGTTAATTAGTTAACATAGTCATTGTTTGTCCTATATAATTATAATTCGCGACCTACTTTTAGCTATAATTACGTGATTTCGCTTTTCCGTTTGTATAATATAATTTGCATAATTCATAATTTGTATAACTGTTTACACTTTTGATGTTTGTAATTGTATAAATTTGTTATTTCGAGTTTATACAAAAATAACTGAATTATATAAATGTACCCGTGAATTATGTGAACCTGCAAATTATACAAATTCGCAAATTATACAAACGAGACAACTTAAACTGTATCTACAACCGACAAATATGCAAACTATAATTATGAAGCATAATTAAAATTTTTAACTATTTGCGAAAGTTTACCATATACATTTTTAAAACCTAGTAGAATAGAAGTTCCTTATTATTTTCTTTGGTTTAGTCTTTGGTTATCATTATGGTGTATAAAATAAAGAATATATAATAGTCAAAAGGTGAGAGGTCCTTATATTTGTTTAATTGTTCAATCACAAATTAAAATATGAATATATATATATATATATATATATTCGTTTAATTTTTTACTCAAATCTACTCCTTGTTCCTTAAGGTAATCTAAATTATTTTCTATCTTACTAAAGAGTTGTTTTTGTTTATTTTGTGTTTCTTCTTGTTAACTTATATATATATATATATATATATATATATTGCTTAATTAGATGAACTTTAGGGTCCAACATCATAGCCCTAGGAGGAAGTCACCAAAATGCACTTCAAAATAACACAAAGTAATATATAAAAATAATGCATTATTAAAAAGTAATAAAAAGTGTGGGACTACGAATTAATGCATTACAAAAAGTAATAAAGTGTGGATATATTAGTACAACACTTTTTTAATTGATAAAAGGGGCAAAATTAATTGTCGATCAAATAACTAAGGTGTTTGATAAGATATAAAATAATTTTATAATTTTTTATCTTTGATTGGGTAAAAATTCTAAAAAGTATTTTTAAAAGATAAATATTTTTCGAATGAGGAAAATGATTTTTTTCCTGATAAAAATAGAAAAAGAAAATAATTATTACGATCCCTTTAACATGTACATTCTCAAGAAGAAATGAAACTTAGCGTAAGGTATGTTAAAAGAGGATATTTTCCACTAAAAGATAAAAATAAAAATTAATTTTAGAAATATTTTATAAAAAATTAAAAACAAAACAAAATATTTTAACATAAGATGTGTTAGCATGTTAAGGCATAGTGTTTTTTCTTTAAAAAATAAATAAATTCATGTGTATTATTATTTGTTGTTGTATCTTATTATATTACATTTCTTACAATTTTGCGTTGGTTATAATTTTTTTGAGTTCGAAATCTACTGAAATTAACTTTTTCACCTCACAAAAATTGAATTTTTTTTTTGTATATTTTATTATTTTTGTAACCTATTCATGAAATTATATTAAATATATTATTATTGTATGAGAGGGTTAGCAATTTCTCACAAGCGAAACTCATAATCTTAATCTACCACAAGACTTGTTATTCTTCTTGCTAAATGATTAAAAAAATAGAAATTATCTAATTACATAAATATTTCTATCATATTTATTAGTTTTGATTATAATTTGAAATAATTACATTTTATGTCAAATTTCATTGCTATCAAATACACTTGAATGAGGAGAAAAGGAAGTGAAAACAGGAGAGAGGCGAATGAGATATGTTTATGTATTCCAGATATATGTGAATCACACCATATACATACACCATGTATCTAGTCTGATTCATGTGTAGGAAAGTGGCGATCAAGAAGGGAGAGAAGAGAGTGAAATTAAATTATACCTGATTTTGACTCATGTATCTCTAGATACATATATTTGGACGCACCAAAATTTAATAAAATTCATAATATTACAAATCAACGTGTATCTAAGTAATTAATTCATAAACTAATAAAATTTATGTAAGTTATACGCTAAAATATTTTAGAATATACTAAATTAGTTAGAAGTAAATCTATTAATTAACAAGAATGCTCATGCAATAAAAAATAATTACTCTAAAAATATTGCATTTATAATTTTATTTTATTTTTACTAAAGATCAAGGAGATATGTACAACATTGTGATTTAACTATAGCCTTACAATTGTATATTTTAATTCTATAGAACTATATATTATTTATAGGTCTCCCACCTAATATCTCTTACAAGTGAGTATACCTAATTCTCTTGTAAAAGGTTAAAATATCAAAGTGATGACTAAAAAGCCATTTGTGACCCCATCTACACACTTGTTTGTGTTCCTTTTTAATTTTTTTTTATTTTGCAATCAATCATACAACACTCAAGATAATTTAGCTTTTTTTTGTTTCTTCTTTTTCTCAACTATATTTGTATTGGAATTTAATATGGTTATGGATAACTTTTATATAGATTCAATATTTATATTAGAAATTTACAAGTGACTATTTTTAATAGGAATCATAAGAAAAATTTTTAGATCGCTTATTCACATGAATATATCATTCAGTTTATAGTTATTTACTTACTATTATTTTTAATACTATTCACATAAATTTTAAATTATAATGTAGGATATGATTTGAAATTTAGTGCATTAAAATTAGTGACATATATAAATATCAGTAATATTTCTTATATGGACATATTTGTTAAATATTAACTTTTAGTTTTTTATAATTAATTTTGATATAGATCCAATATTTACATTAGAAATTTCAATTAAACTTATCTAAATACTGTTGTAGTAATTAAGATTTGTGCCAAGTAAATCTAGATTGAAGCACTACTAGAAAAGGAGATTTTTTTCTTTGTGAAAAAAAATGAAATTATGTTATAAAATATGAAACTTCTTCACCTTTCGATTTTCATCGAATTGATGCTCATTGAAAAAATATATGACGGAAAATAGATTTTCACTGAAATACTGGAAAGTTTCTTAATTTTTATTTTTTTTATTTTTGAAATATATGTGATAATAATAACTGAATAACTTTCGACAAAAATTTACGATGAGAAAATATGTTTTTTTTTTGTAGTGTTATAAAATGTAAAGTTGTAAATTAAAAATGACTTGATAACTTTTGAGTGATTTAATTTGAATGTTTAATAAACATATAATTTGAAATACTTATAAGTCAATTTGACTCTTATTCGACTTTGCCAACTGATTAAGTTACAAGTGAAAAAAAGTACACATGAAATCTCGAAGCGAAAAGCAGCATAACCAAGAGAATTGTTCCATTTAGGACGAAATAAAATAGATAAACACGAATTATCTTGTGTTCGAATCGATTGATCATGTGACAATTAATTAACTTATAATTTTAATATTAACTATGACAATATTTCAAACAGAAAACACATATTTACAAGTGTTAACTAATTATTGGTTAGGTGAAAACTTACTATTCATTTCTGAAATGAAATATTACTATTCTATATATAAATGATAATCCAAACAAAAAACATTTACATAGAACTTTTGATATCCTTTTCATTTGACATGAAAATAATGGATCAATTATTGTGTGGAATTTTTTTAAAAGTAGACCTCATCAAACTTTTTCCACAATTGAATATAAAATTCACCACTAAAAATTTGTTTGGAAAAGTCATTTGCTAATCAAATTTAGTGTAATTATTAAAGTAATGATTGTTTGTAGTAGAGTACATCTATCAAGACTTATTTATTTATTATAATTATAATGTATTGTAGTGTAATTTCAAATATGTTATTTAATTGCGAAAATTTAATTATACAACTAGATCTTTCAATTTTCAAAATAAAAATTAATAATAAAAAACACAAGTTAATATTTGACAAATATGTCAATGTAAGAAATATTACTGATATTTTATATGTTAAAGTATTTAAGAAACGTGTTATTTTATAATGTGTAATTATATATTATTAACTGATATTATAAAAAAAATTGATATATGATTTCCAAATGATGATGTTTTAGTTGAATTAATGAATAAAAAATTATAACTAAGCACACATTTTGCAACAATATCATGGATTATATGTTTGACTAAGAAATTAGCATTTACAGCCATAATTATAACATTGTTCAAATGTTTAATGAATTTATATTTGCCTATAACCTTATTCAACAAAGAAAATATAACTTTAACGATATCATTCGTTATAAGGTAACTTACTATTTGATCATATATTTTAAAATAAAAAATTTAATTTTTAAAATTCTTATTTAAAAAGAAAATCAAGTCCAAATATATAAATCGATTTTTGAACTTAATGAGTTTTTTCCCTCAGGTATATCAACTATGTTATTTTCCTATTAAATCATTGAACTACTCATAATTTATTTTTTTTAAACACTGTTGATTGATGTAGAATCAAATTTTGTGAGGGGTATTGATAGAGATACATGTGTTGTTCCAGAACTCATTAGTCCAATTGATTGTGAATATGTTCGAGAATAATTGTGTTTTACTTCAAGTCATTTGAATACATTAGAAAATAAATGAGACTTACACACAATTTGTCTTCATTCCTTCAATCAAAATCATTATAATACGAACACAATTGAAGACTTTTACAATAGAAAAATTGATCAAAATTGATTAACAGTGTTTAAACGGAACAAAATATTGACGATTCAATTATTTAAAAGGAAAAATGACGTAGTTAAAATACCTAAGGAGAAAAATTATACAAATTTAGACAAAAAATTCAAATGTCCTATATAAGTTTGAAGTCCCAAATTTTTTTAAAGTTGATCTATTTGAATAACACATTTTAAATACCCCAAACTTCTTTAACTTCACACCAATTTACTTATACAAACAAAATACACTATTTAATATAATCCAAAAAATTCATACTTCAAAAGATTAAATATAAATAATAAATGTAATACAAATAATAATTAAAAATACATATTTTTGACCTCACATCATATATATGATTATGGAGAAAAAAGTATGTGGCATATATTTGGACAAAAACTAAAAAGCAAAAGCAAACATTGATCAAATGTACTAGTTCAGTTGATGCTAGATCACTTGAGTACATATATATATATATCACTAACTTATGTGAAGATATCATCTTAATCTTTCTTTTGACAAGTATTTGTGACTCAATACTCATAAACTCCATAATTTCCTTCACCTTTTTATTGTTAAATTTTTCATTGCTTAACAAGATTGGTTTTCTATAGTAGCGCTACTGTTTTCTTCCTTAGGATGTAAAGTAGTGATCTTTTGAATTTCCCTTTTCTTTTTCTCTGTTTTCATTTCAGAATATGCTTTCTTGCCTCCTTTGATTTGGTATATTTTCAGCTTCTACTAGAAATGATCTTTTTCCCTTTTGAAACCCTTTTTATTTGTCTTCTCAAGCAAGAACCCATGCACAGATGACAGACCACAGTTCTTGAATTCTAAAAACACTCTCTGAGTTGGTGACATGGGTGGTGTAAAAACAGATAAAGTTTTCTTCTTTGTTGTTGTTTGTTAGTTTTGAGCCACTTGAAATTCCAATTCTTGAAGACCCTTTTGGATTCTTGAACTAGTTTGTGAGTGAAAGTTCCAAAAAAGTTATCTTCTTTGTTGTTGTTAGTAAGTTTTGAGCTTCTTGGTATTTGAAGACCCTTTTGGATTCTTCAGCTATTTTGTGAGTGGAAGTTCAAAACAGACACAGTTTTCTTCCTTTTTGTTGTTAGTAAGTTTTGAGCCTCTTGAAATTCCTATTCTTGAAGACCCTTTTGGATTCCTGAGCTAGTTAGTGAGTGAAAGTTCAAAACAGATAAAGTTTTCTTCCTTTTTTGTTGTTAGTAAGTTTTTTGAGCCTCTTGAAGACCTTTTTGGATTTGTGAGTGAAGGTTCAAAACAGACAGTTTTCTTCCTTTTTTGTTGTTAGCCAGTTTTAAGCCTCTTGAAATTCCAATTCTTGAAGACCCTTTTGGATTCTTGAGCTAGTTTGTAAGTGAAAGTAAAGTTCAAAACAGATAAAGTTTTCTTCTTTTTTGTTGTTAGCAAGTTATAAGCCTCTTGAAATTCCAATTCTTGGAGACCCTTTTGGATTCTTGAGCTAATTTATGAGTAAAAGGTCAAAACAAATAAAAGTTCTTTTCTTTCTTGTTGTTAGCAAGTTATAAGCCTCTTGAAATTCCAATTCTTGGAGACCCTTTTGGATTCTTGAGCTAATTTATGAGTAAAGTGTCAAAACAGATAAAAGTTCTGTTCTTTCTTGTTGTTCGCAAGTTATAAGCCTCTTGAAATTCCAATTCTTGGAGACCCTTTTGGATTCTTCAGACATAAAGTTGATCATAGTGTTCTTGCAATGAAACAATTTCAAGTTTAATTTCCTTTTTTCTTGTTTTCAACAAGTTATTGATTCTTGTCTAAAAGAAAGCCTTTCTGGTGTAAAAAGGAGATGAGAATTCTGGGGGTGAAGTATGGTTTGTGGATTTCAATGATTTTGGGGTTTATGGTGTTGGGGAAAGTGTATGGAATAGGAGCAAACTGGGGTACACAAGCAACACATCCATTGCCACCAAACATAGTAGTAAAGTTACTTAAAGACAATGGGATTCAGAAAGTGAAGCTGTTTGATGCAGATTCAGAAATCTTGAATGCCCTCAGTGGCTCTGGAATTGAAGTCATGGTTGGAATACCAAATGAAATGTTGTGGAGTTTAGCTAACAGTTTGGGTGCTGCTGAGAAATGGGTAGAGAAGAATGTCTCCTCACATGTCTCTTCCAACAGTGTTGATATCAAGTGAGTTTAGTTTCTTCTCAATATTCTTCACGCTTTTTAAGTTATATACACTGACAGTATGCAATACTTAATTACATGTATCTCCTTTCTCCATAATTGTAAAAACTACCGCGACTTGCTTGTTGTGTTCGAGCATTTATAAGTATATGATAATATTTGCTAAATCATCAACCATGTTTAAAGGAGTATACAAACAGAGAAAGTCTGAGAAGATTTTAGCTTTTCGATTGAGAATTGTCAATCTAACTTGTTTGTTTTGGCAACATTAGACGAAACATTTCGTATATAGTCAATATTATGCTAATTGTAGCCTAATGAGGTTGGCGCGAGTACTCTCCTGAGTCCTGATATAGCAGTAGCTGGCCTTTTTGCCTTCAATTTTGCTAAATATAAGTTCTTTTGTGTAAACAGATATGTTGCAGTTGGAAATGAACCATTTCTATCTCAGTTAAACGGGACGTTTCTTTCAACAACATTCCCAGCTCTTCAAAACATCCAAGCAGCCCTTATAAAAGCCGGTCTTGGTAATCGGGTGAAAGTCACTATTCCTCTCAATGCTGATGTATACCAGAGTTCAAGTGAAAAACCTTCAACAGGTGATTTTCGCCAAGACATTCGTGATCTCATGGTGAGCATTGTTAAGTTCTTGAGTGACAATGGAGGCGCATTTACTGTCAATATCTATCCCTTTATAAGTCTCTACAATGACCCCAACTTTCCTGCTGACTATGCTTTCTTCGACGGATACTCAAACCCCATCGATGACAATGGGAAAATCTACAACAATGTGTTCGATGCAAATCACGATACCCTCCTTTCGGCATTGCAGAAAAATGGATTCCCAAATATGTCGATTATAATAGGGGAAATCGGATGGCCAACAGACGGAGACAATAATGCAAACTTGAAAGCTGCCCAGAAGTTCAACCAAGGATTCATGACTCACATTTCAGGTGGAAAGGGGACACCAATGAGACCTGGCCCTATAGATGCTTACCTTTTCAGTCTGATTGACGAGGACGCGAAAAGCATTCAGCCCGGTAACTTTGAGCGCCATTGGGGAATATATTACTTCGATGGTACGCCTAAATACAAGCTTTCTTTAGGTGCAAACAATGGAGGTGGTTTAGTACCAGCAAGTGGTGTTCGTTACCTGTCTCGTCAGTGGTGCGTGTTGTCACCCTCAGCTAGCCTTGATGATCCTCAGCTAGCTGATAGTGTAGGCTATGCATGTTCACATGCTGATTGCACCAGCCTCGGGCACGGGACATCATGTGCTGATCTAGATGCTCGTGGCAACGTTTCGTATGCATTCAACAGTTACTATCAGGAAAACGACCAGCAATCGAGTGCCTGCAAGTTTCCTAACCTTTCCATGATCACAAACACAGATCCGTCACCATCGGGCGGAACATGTAAATTCAAGATCATGATCCAAGCAACTAGTCCTAGCAGCCATAAGAACAATGCATTTACAACTAAGCCTGTCAATGTGATGTTTCTGTTTGTAGTTTCTTTGTTGTTGAGTGTTTTATAGAACTTGTTGAGTCATATTTATGTATTTTCCATCATGATTTTTGTTTACTACATCACTCTGCTCCTCTGTTTGGCACCATTCTTTTTAGGTCTATAATTTTTACAATTTTTGAAGTTTTTTTGTTTTGGAATCAAGACGTGGATATTATAGTACTTCATCCGTTTCTATTTTCATGTCGTCTTTATTAAAAATAGATCTGAATGTTACCTAATATTTGTTTTTTAAGAGAATGAATACATAAATAACACTATTCTTTCTATAGGGGAGCAACTATCTTGCGGTTCGTCTTAATAATAGTATTCGAAAATTAAACTTAGCAAAACAGAAATGAACAAGAAAGAAGAATATTTGATTTGAGCACACTTAATTCATATATCTCCTTGAGGAACTTAATCTTCTCATAATATTTGAGGTAGATGATATAAAGTCATTATTTTGCATTAATTTTTGATTTGATACGTGGTGTTAATGTTTGATGATGTGTATTAGATCGATAGTATCAAGATGAATTTTAGCATCAAGTATTCATAATACATTAGTCTTTATATGATAAGTTTAGAGCTACAAATTCAAATTTATAAAGATTTGTACCTCAATTGCTTGCGATGACCGAGTCTCATGTTGATAACATTTATTTTAGGGATAACGTACAAGTACCCCCTTAATCTATACCCGAAATCTCAGAGATACACTTATTCTATACTAAGGTCCTATTACCCCCATGTACTTATTTTATTAATAATTTTCTACCCCTTTTCGGCCTACATGACACTATCTTGTGGGCTCAACGGTGGTTGACTTTTTTCTTCAAACTAGTGTCACGTAGGCCGAAAAGGGGTAAAAAATTACTTATAAAATAAGTTCGGGAGGGGGGGAGGGTAGTAGGTTCTTAGTATAGTATAAGTGTGTCTCTAGAATTTCGACATAGATTGAGGTGGTAGTTATGCATTTTCCGATTATTCTAATATATCTTCGAGGTTTAAATTTATCAGTTACATATTTCACTATAAGTATTAGTTAAAATCAAAATTATCTTGAAATTATTCATCCTTTATAAAAGGTGAAATCTCAAAATTATAACTGAGATAACCATATTTTGAAGCAAACAATATTAAGAGATCGATTGATTGAAACAAGTTATTTTGAAATAAATTGTTTCATCACATTTATAAAATAACTTATTCCATTATTGAGATATAAATAACAGAATAAATAATTATAAAATTACCTTGTATCTCCAATCAAACATGTAAAATAATGTTACAATTTAATAATGAGATTATTATTTCTTATACACCAAATGGCTCACCAGAAATATAATTATACTACAAGCTAAACAATAAACTGGGTCAAGCCTCATTAACATATTTAAATAATTGGTTTTAAATAATCCAATTATGCTTAACCTAGTGAAGTGTGTAGGACCATGGTTGAACCATCCTAAAAATTCAAACAATAAACGGCTTTTTAAACATAATTTTTGTTCATTATCTTGATATAGCATATTTAAAAATTATTTATCGTCTATAATTGTTATACTATTTGTATTAAAAGTAAATAATATATACAATATAAACGTACTACAAATATATAAAAATGTGTGTTTACTTGTTTTGACAAATAAATAAATTACACTTATATTAAAAAAGAACTATGCCTATAATACAGATGTATTTCGCAATGTATAAATATTAAGTTTTATATGCAATACAAATGTATTAAAATGTTTTGATAAAAAAATTACACTATATATCAAAAGTGAATTCTACGTATATTTGAAATCATGCAGCTACAAATAGTAAATATTTTCTAAAGAAAGTATATTTAGGTAAGTTTCCCCGCATTGAAAGTGTTAGGTTTTTAATTTATAGAGGGAAAAACTACACAAATTAGACCCTATTAGACAAAATATTTATTGAAATTGAACACAACCTAATATATTTATTATAAATTTAATCCATATTGCAAACTATTTATCTTATTCTCTTCTTGTTCTATTCACTAAATCGATGTTGATACCATTAAGAATATATATTCTAATAATATCAAAACAATCAATTGAACCGTCCTTTTACTGAAAAACTGCCTCTTTTTCCTTGACGCCATTATTGCTATAAGAGAATTTATGTACTCTATTGATATCAAGAAATAATTGAATAATAATTTCACTGAAATATTATTTCTTCATCTTTGATACCATTGGAATATATATCAAAGAAGTAATACTCATTTTCAACATGTAGGATTAAAATTTAAAAAATGGCCATGATTGTATTTTCCCTTAAAATGGCCAATTTAGTGAACTTTACCCTTTTGGGGTTTTTGCTGTTAAAACTTCATCGGGCTTTTCATTCGGGTCGGGTCATGAATTATTCGGGTCGAATGATTCTTCGAGACTCCACTTTCCTTCTTCGCTGTTTTCACACATATAACACAAAAAAGCATGGAGGCGTGGGTTTTTTCTCTACTCTCTCTCTAGAGCATTTGTATTTGCAGAATTACTTCAAACACTTTCTCTCTCTACATATCTGAAAAACCCTAGTTTATTTTTTCTTTTTTGAATTTTTTGGTGATTTTTGTGTGAGTTGTAATATGGAAGAGGAGCCGCAACAACAACAATCATTGGCGGCGGAAGGGGAGGAGGAGCGGCAGACGGAGACGGTTCCTACGGAGGAGCATGAGGAGGAAGAAGGAGAAGAAGCGGGAGGTGGAGAGGAAGATGAAGAAGAGGCGGAAAGTGAAGGGTTGATCATTAAGGCACAAGCGTTGATGGAGAAGATTACTGCTTTGCCTGATAACCCTAACCCCAATACTATCCATGCTCTTTCTTCTCTTTTTGAAACCCAAGAAGCTAGGTACAGTTTTTTTTTTTTTTTGTTGATAAAGTAGTAATTTAGTGATGCTGGGTTTCTAACTCAAGAGTCCAGGTATATAATGGTTATATATATATATATATATATATATATGCCTTGAGCTGGAATTCACTTTTTTTTTTCATTTCTTGAACTTTTTGGTGATTTTGAATTTCTGGTTTAAGTGAAGTGATATTTGGGTTGAAGTGTGATTTTGTGGGTTTTTGGGATTATATTGATGCACAAGAAAGGTGTGGCCTAGTTGTAATGAAGTGGTTGAGAACCTGAGGTCTCAAGTTTAAATCTCAACAGAGACAAAAACACTTAGGACAAAGTTACCTGAAACCTATTGCAGGTTGCTGGTTGGAGGTGGCAAGTATCCGGGAAATTAGTCGAGGTGCGCGAAAACTGGTCCGTACACCACAGTCCTTGGGAAAAAGAAAAAAAGAAAGAATTCTACTCTGCAATGTTTGTCTATGCATGTCTATTGATGATTTAATGTTTAGCTAGCAGATAAGTATGCTGTTACTATGTGCATATTGGAGTATTTCAGTCCTTAGATATATAATAGTAGGGTACTTGAATTCTGTTAATATATATACTGGTCTCTCTCTATCTCTTTTTTCAATTCTGATAAATTTTTCCTAGTTAAAAATGTAGTAACATGTGGTTTATTTGTAGCTTTTTGAATTGACCCCCATTGAAGAAAGAGAAAAATTGAATCTATCAGACTCAGATGGGTAAATAATCAGTGAGAGGGGATGAATGTCGTGAGTTATGGGTGTGGCTTTGCTCGTTTATCTTCTTTGTAGTTATAATTAACTGCAGATACTGGTTCCATATAATTTTATTTAGTTTTAATGTTTCTGGTCCTGGTCGTGAAAAGATAAGGGTGTATTGGGTTCTAGGTGCATCATGTCTTCTGTATTAGCGTGAAATAGTACACTTACATCTTTGTGACACCATTGTGCTATTTGGACAACGGTCAATTATAAAATTCTGCCTCTCTCAATGCTGTCCCTCGATTCTCAACAGAGCCCTCCTTCCTCATATTAGAAGACCAAATCTGTTTCCTAAACAACATCTTTTTCTCGCATTTTGTATATCCTGATGATGCATATTTTACTACGATTGTACCTCACATGCACTGCAGCTTCTGGATTTTGTTTCCATCACTACCAGTTAATTGGTTGGGATTACCAGCCTGACCAAACTCCAAAGATTAAGATAGAACGAAGAGTTCCTGTCCACAACTATATGCCTATCAATAGCTGTACTTGGAGTTGAGCTAATTGTATAGGCATAGGGGGAGCTGGACACATATATCAAAAGCTCAATGCCGAATTTGGGGAACCACTATCTATGCATGTATTTTCAGCCTAGATTGACAAATCTCTTGCTTCTTGGGTGGTGTCGCGAAAATGGTGCTTGCGTTGTGGGAGACTAAGTTGCTCGGAATCTTTACTTTTGGTGCTGCACCTATGTCGACACGACATGAGTGTGGGTGTGGGTGGGGACCGTGTATGATTCGGTCAACCTATTTTGGGCACTTTGATCAAAATCAATGGGGAAAATCTGGATAATTTCTATGATTTTTGTAATCAATACAGAAACTAAGGTGAAATTGAAGGAAATGGAATACATTTTTTAAATAGAAAGTCATATGTCACTCCTTTTCCTTGATCTCCTTTCAGGATTCTCTTCAAATTCTCCACATAATATCTCATAATTGAGGTTTTATAACTTTACTTTTTAGATATTTTCAATTATATTTAGGCGAGTCCACATGCCCGTATTCATACATAGATCCATATCCTCGAATATTAAAAATTAGATCATGAAGGATCCGATCTTTAGATCCGCACTGGTATCGGACGCCTGCACCCGAGTTCGAACAACTTAGGCGGGATATCCCTGCCCTGGATGAAGGGGTGCGAACCAACCCAAGTGGGCTCTGACATCATTTTAATTGCTAACCAAACATTTTTAATTCAGTCAATTTGTATATTCATATTAAAATGGAGCTTGAAGAGATGAATTTACTTTAAATAGAACTATACCTCCATATTAGGGTGCAACTTTTGGATTGGTTGATATTTTTAATTTTTCCATATTGTATATAGATGAGGCAAAATGTTTGAGGATGTCAGAATTAAGTTTCTAAATTATATTGACATTGCTAAGAACTGGGCTTTTAATTAGATTGAGAAAGAAAAAATGGAAGTGCATCTGAGTAAAGCATCAATTTTGCATTGTCTATCTTATGTGGTTCTGAACACTTTTCCTAGTTTCTATGCTAAAAC